AGAGTAAACTAAAGGAAGTCTTGTTTTTTAGAAGAAAATTCGCTCATTGTCTTCTATATTCATAGGCCTTCTTTTTATTATTATCTTATTATCCCAATTATGCGTATGGATAATTAATAGATGATACTGAATCTATAAATGTTCCATACTTTCAGCTTTTGTGAAGAATCTTAGATGAAGTTGAACAGTATTAACCAAGTTAATTTTCTAACGTTGTTTATAAAGATTAAAAAATTGTCCATAGGAATTTCAAACAGTTTCAACTCGTTTAAATTTACAGATCAAATTACATGGATTTCCACTAATTTAACCAAGTTTATGTAATAGCTAGTTTGTTAACACGTCCAATTTTCATTTTTTTATTCCGATTAAAATTATAAAGAGTATTTTACTTTAGGTTTACTTACTGCTGTAAAAATCGTCAAATCTTAGAAACCGATTATGTAAATCTAATTTGTTTTAAGATATAGAGTTTTAAACCTACAGTTATTTGTGTATTTAAGTTCTTTGAATAGCATTACGCAACCACTAGGTCAAATTGGCTATAGTTTGAATGTTCCTTTAATATTTGATTTAGTCAGGTCATTGGTTACTGAAGAAAAAATTTAAAAACAATTATTCTTATTTTAAGCATTGATATTAAGAACCCTTCTTAATATCAATGCTTACCGCACAAATTATATATCGCGCGTCATTGAAACATTTTTGTTCCTATTGAATATGTAGTAGAATATAATTTATTTTTCAATACACGTATTTCGGTAGGAATTAGATCATTTGTATGCATGGAATATTTATTTAATAAAAGAGACGCTGTCTTAAAACGGCGCTTGACGTAATCTACTATAAACATAGGTACTACATTCATTTATAAGTATAATATAATCAAGAACGCCCTTAACAGACATGAAGCTATTAAATTAGATGGTGTTAATAAACTAATGGGTGAAACAGATATCATCTTGAGGTTTGTAAACATGTTACATATATAAGTTATATATCTTTATAATAAATAATATATTTTGAAAGTTATTATACCTAATAGAAATCTTCAAATTATTTCGATCTAAACTGTTACTAATTCATCTGAAGCGCCAGATGGCGATTGTAAAGGTTAATTTATAAAAGAGAAGAAAAACCATTCATATGGAACTTAATGAAATATGCTACTTATAGAAAGATGCTGTGTACATGGAGTTACTGCCTAAAACTGCCTCTGATGAATATATAATCTGATTAAATAAAGGTATCATAAAACCGTTAGAACATGTTGAAAAATCGTAAGTCATCATTCAGGAAAATTCGAAATAGAGTACAGAACAGAAGAATCAGATGTTTATTTACAAGAGAGTGGGTATCTTGGGGACTCGATCACGGCTTCCCAGATCTCATTACTCAGTAGGGGGTACATCCTAGGAGTTTTAGCGGGTAGGTCTTCGGTAACGGAGGACAGTCCCCCCCCCCTCTATAGTTTACCAAGCGATTGTGCTTAAAGCATTTCACTGACAATTAAAAAAAAGATGTTTATTTGCACAGCAGTGCTATAACATGCATCATATTTTCCGCCATAATATGATTCATTAGTACTAATCAGTTCGTACCGGAATGAACCACTAATTAGACCTTTACTTATCAATAATGGGAAAAAAATTAACCTATTGCGAATAAAAAGAGTATATAAATCAACCGCAAAATCATTTCAGTTACATATATTGGACATTATGTTACATCCAGCAGTTATGCAATATTGTCAACACGGTCATAACGTTCAATCAAGCTGATTGTATAGCTCATTGTTTGTGTATTCGCGCCAGCCATCGGCACAAACCACTTTTTGATTCTGTCATTGAATAACACACGGCCAAGGTATTTTACACTATACAATCCATAATACACATAACAATGAAGAAAAGAGACATTATAAAGAACCTAAAAATCGTTTTTGGATGCTACCTTTAATGCATTAAGGTTTAAAGTCAAGTGGAGATATAGGACAGATGTAAACTCACGTGCTGTTGAATGTACTTTAAACATGTAAAAAATGCTACTTGGTGCAACTATGTTTTAATACAGTCGTGATAAGAGAGTTTAATGCACATATACATGTGCATTAAGTCAGGTATGTAATGAATACGAACATTCTAAGATTATTTTACGAGTTATTAAGAAAAATTGGAGTCGGAACATGTTTTGCCCTTATCACTCCCGTGGGACACTTGCCATCTAGTGTTAGATGGCAAGTGTTGTTATATATACTAGTGTTTGACGTCATGTCAAACTTAAGTATATATCTAATTTATATCTCAATCACATCTCGATAAATTTTTCACATATATAATTTCTTCTCACTTTCCTTTATCTGATCCCGACAAACAAAAATAATAAAAAACATGCATATTCCGTATTCTAATTGAAATTCCAACTATATTAATAAAATATAGTAAAATACACTGAAAATAAGCAAAAAGATCTGTTACATTCAATAGCATACAAAATGAACTACTTGGAGTAACATACATTATAACACAATCCTGAACAGGACTATCTTCTAGCATTTAATAGAAACAGGAAGTAAACGGCTAAATCGCGTAGGTAGTAGAATAGCTATAATATTAAGACATAAAACTAACATTTTCTGTGACTCGCATATCACTAAAAGTGCATTACACTCGCGCTAATAATCACAATGAAGGCTGAATACAATTTTATTATTATTATATCATAATAAAAACTTAAGTTCTTTATCCACTTGAAATAAAGTTAATAATTAATTTATTTGACGAACTCACCCGCTTTGTAACAATTGGGCATTGAACCGAAACTTGTAATGTGTCGTTTTAGAGTTTCCTGTTAACTATAGCCGTTGAGAGCGAATCGCAAAACTCTACCTAATCCAAGGTTATTTCTGCAATTAACTATTTATCGTTAAACGGTTGCGTATGACGATAACATTTTTATTACTTTTTTGTATAGTTAATTATTCGGATAAGGCTGTTCCCTCATCACGTTTAGTAACAAATGTGTTCATGTAAAAATATACTGCAGTCTCAAACAACATCAAATGTAAGTATTTATATTAAGTAAAACTAAAGTAACTCACTGAAGGTGCTCTAACAAAAAATTTTGTAGAAAGGTAAGATTTGGAAGACAATAGCGAAGTCAACTAAGTGGGCGTGTAAAGAAACAAGGTCACCGAGCGCACCTTCAGTCTAACAATAAAGTATCTTAAGGGTTGTCATTACGATATATTATGCAAGCAATGACTAATGTAAATAACAAAACCGAATCTCTTGAGTATCGCATGCTAAGCTTAGTCACAAAAGTTATTTTAAAACTTGTATAGTCATTCTATATAACAATATAACAATCTATACGTCAGATTGTTGTTATTAATGTTTATTTTTAACATCTATTAATGTCTATTTTAAGCTTTTAATGCGTGCTTTAGATTGACATTATCAACGAACCCTAAACAAATAGTAAACGACTGGGATATCGATAAAGAAAATAGTTCTTTCTGGAATGGTATTAAAGTTGTGTTCAGCCTGCATTGTAATAAAGCGTCGAGGTACCTCTTGCTGCGGCTCCTCGCCCAGCGAGTCGCCGAGCGCCTCTGCCTGGCTCTTCATAATCGAGTATATTTTCACGTACGGCGCCTTCAGCAGCTATGCGTATACGCATTATATGTTAGTAACAATATACTAATTCGATATTTCATGTCGTGTGTTCGTATAGTTCGAGAGTCATCATTGGTTATGTGTATACAGTGATCAAGTAATTGGATCTCCAAAGAAAAACAACAGTGAAATTGTGAATCCTGTTTAATAAATGTATGATTACTCTATTAGCTGACCACTTTTGTTGAGTTAAAATGTTCTGTATTTTAAGAGTATTGAATTTAAACTACCGTATGAAAAGGACAAACTAACATAAATAACATAGGACATTGAATTGATATAAATAATAAAATCTTTCGTCTAATTTCATTTATACAATTTTATAATTATAGTTTACAAACGTGTTGATATTAATTAAATGTTTAAATTACTAATGCTTTATATAATTTTAGTTAATTGCATTTTCAGACAATTCAAAAACTTGTGAAGATAAAGGATGCGTCACTGAAGTTATCAAACAGAATAAGCCAAGACAAAACTCGTTATTACTCCCGAAAACATGCTATGTCGGATATAACCGATCAAAACAAGAATAACCAATCTACAATAAATAGTAAACAAACGTTCTTCATCGGTACAATATATTAATTAACCGCTTCATACATGGAGCTTAATAACAATTCTGTTTGCGCCATGTGCTAATAGGTGACGTCATCGTTTGTAACGTATGCCTAAACACAGTGCACCCAAAAAGGTTATGAAAAATAGAAAACATTGTCTAAAGTGTAACGTAATGTGGATTAGATGCATTATCGTAGACTAGTGTTGTTGCAATAGCAATATTTGCTATCGATACTTAAAACAAAGATACTATCGGTAGACTCGAGTCTTCTCCATACTATCGATAAGGCATTTTCTTTAGTAATAGTGGCATTCGTTTTAAAAACGATAATGAAGCAATTCTGTTGGCACAAATTAATTTCAATTTTGTCCAACTTAGATTTTTGTTTCTATAAACTAAAACGATATGAGAAACTTATGACACAATAATATCTATTATTTATTTTTCTCAGACTTTAAAGATTTAAAATTAGATTAGTAACACAGTGGTACAACAGAATTCATCACTATGAATAAAACTGATCAACAGCAATATTTTCCTACAGAACTACATTTACTCAGATTGGTTCGACAGATTCTAAAAAACCACAATAGTGTCACTATACTATCGATAGGCTTGGGTTATCGCAACAACACTTCAGTTGACACAAAAAAAATGTGTTAATAAAACTGTTAGTAATCATGAAAAGTGTTAGTAAGGAATGCAACGTTAAAATATAAAATACCAATAGGCAGTATATTATAAAACAAGCTATGACTCACCTCCCATGATTCTCTTGTAATATCCGATACATCTCCCGTACTCCCCGTCCTTTCACCCTGTAACAATAAAAGTAAATATAAAATTAATTCTATGAATATACGACTGTCTATAATCATGTATTTATATAATTAATTCTTACGCTATAATTTTTTTTCAATCTTTCTTTAATGAGACCGTATTGCATTCTATTAGCCATCCAGCAACTGATGTAAATGCTATATAGCATTAAGTCTATCTTTTACTGTGTTGAATTAATTGATAAATATATAAATCGTTAAAATAAATATCAAACTTTAAAAAATCTTTTTATGTGAAAATGTAATGAAACCTACAAGTATAATGTAAGGTGAAACCAGTTAATAATTTACATAAGATAGCAATTAAGTTGGAAGTTATCATAAATATACATAAATATAGATGAAGATGTTATCTTGACTGATGGCTTCGCGATAACGAGATCACAACAGTATGTCATAACTATATGTATAATGCTATCACACATAAATGTATACAATAATAATTTGAATGACAAAAGGAAGCAGAAGAAGAAATTAAATATAATATATTTTTAGATCGCTTCAATAAGATATGTTAAATAAATATTATTTATTTCTTATATTCACGACGACGAAATAGGTATCAAACAAAAATGTAACTGTAGTAACTTAATCTTTAATATGGTTTTGTACCAAGAAATAACGTCAAAATAAGTTGTTATTATAAATGACAAAACTATATCATATTTCAAAGGATCTTGCCACACACAAAAAGTGAATTTATAAAATTTTCTCATTGAACAAAACCTCAAAGTAACCTTTAGAATTCACCTATTTTTTTTATTTCTTCTCCTAACTGCGCTCTTTCTTTATAGGGACAAGTCAAAGTCAAAATAATCTTTATTCAAATAGACTTCTTAAAAGTACTTCATATCGTCCAACATTTTGCCCCTACCACACGTTCAAGAAAATTGATAAATATGTAAGTCGCTTTATAGCTAGGCGCTTTATGCAACACTCATACAATAATGGTAATGGTTTGCGAGTAATTAATTATAAATAGATTTTTATGCGCAATACTCCATCCTCTAACCTATCCATCTCATTACCGAGATTCGATAGATAGAAACAAAATTTTGTCTTGTAAAGGCTCAAGAATAAATTGAATAAGACCTATCAACAATTGAAGCATTGGGCGGTAAATAATGCCTATACTAAAAACTTTCGATAACAAAATCTAGGGCACTTTTATCATTCATTACAATTACAGTGGCTAAAATGCTGCGCTCTCTGTAAAACTTACTTTATGCCCCGGTTTCGCTTCATCGTCATCCCACTCTGTGTCACTGTCTATGAGTTCGTAGCCTTGAGCGGTGACGTCACCCAGGGGTCCATACCGATCCGGCACCCAGTGAGTCAGGAATTTGAATAAATCGTCCACCCTAAAACATGTTGTAATTGTTAATACTATGGACTAAATAAGCAGTTACTCGTGAAGATCGGTAGTCCAGTGGTTAGCTCTTCCTCTATGCAACTGAGAGGTAACACAACTTTCGCAATCGCTGATCATCGGATGGCGACCACTAGTTTATTAACTCGAGATTCGCCGTACTTCGGAAGGTACATTAAATATGATAGCATATCTAACAGAGCCAAAAGAGGCGGATGGGACAAATTTACTTTACACCTTGCAAAGTAAAGACATTAGAAGGTGACATTAGAATTCTGACAATTAGGCGCGTACAAAGTATTTTCTTTTTCTGCAGTTTTGATTCTGGTTGTTATACGAGTCAGCTATGCCCGTTGGGCTCGGATACATCTACAGTCATTAATGCACAGTAATCCGCACTGAGCCTATACCATGGGTAATGGCGTGAACATACTCTTTATGAACGGGCCAGCCAATTTAAACGACGAATAGAGATCCCTATAAGATGCTAATTCTTATTCAATTAACTCGTTTTAAAGGACAATAAGGTCAACCGACGCGCGCATGATAATACATCTGTTATAACCAGTGTCAATTATGATTGAGAGACCTCTTACAAATGTATGTACAGACATGTCACTAATAGTAGTAATAGTATATTATTATAATAGGTGTATTATCACCAAAACATCATAGATAAAATACAAAAATAAAAACTCAAAGAATTATACAGCATTCTGAATGCAAAATTGATCAAATATAATAAATAATTAACAAACTGCTTTAGAAATTATATATTACCAGATATACGGTCAGTTGCACAAACGTCCATTAAAGTTTAATGACGTCTTTAAGCTCCAATAAATGTGAAATATGTATGGGTAATGTTGCTTTAATATAATGAAAGTTTTAATGAACATATGTGCAACTGGCTGATAGCATATCGAATAATTTTTCGATTCATTAGTTTTATTTGGTTGAAGTTTGGACGTATTTCGATATATTCGCAACTAGCTTTCCGTCAGCGGTTGCGCCCGTGTGGTCCCGTATTACACATCTTAATCTCGAATCACTCTGTACATATGGTAATTTAAAAGGTCTCAGCATACAGACAGCGGGAAGTGTCTTTTTTATATTATGTATAGAAAAGCTCGGTGGCGTAGTGGATTAGTGCCGCGGCCCGCGATCGTTGTCGTTAAGTAACTTTCGCAAGGTTCGGTCACGGGATGGGTGACCAAAAAATTATTATCTCGACCGTGCTTCGGAAGGCACGTTAAGCCGTTGGTCCCGGCTGCATTTGCAGTCGTTAATACCCTCCAATCCGCATTGGGCCAGCGTGGAGGGTCATGGCCCATCTTCCTTAACCATCCATAAGGAAGGCCTGAGCCCCTGCAGTGGGGACGTATAAGGGCTGATGATTATGATGATGATGATGATAGAAAAGTCAGTTCAGCAAAGACAATTGCGAAGACACGAAGACATTTTAATATTCGATATATCGAGGATATTTCTTACTCTGCAAGTGTTTCGTCGTACTGGTAAGCCATTGTTAAGAACATACACATTTTTGCAGATCTCAATGACACTACACTCTTTATATCTAAAACACTTTCCTTACTGTTCTTTTGAATGAACATCAAATGACTGATGGCGCATTAATACAAACAAAGATATCGTAGGTAACATCTAAGATATAATAGATTATAAATGAATCATACATGCATATGATTCGTGGAAGTCAGACGGGTTTATCTATTTCTTTGTGTAAATAAATTAAACTTCGTCATGTATTTTGACCTACATTAAGGTGTTTATTTTGTTAATCCAAAGTCCTTATTATTAAGCCTATAATACTAGTAAATATTCCAATTGTTTATTTAAATTCGACATAGGTTTAGTTTTTCCTAGGATTTGAATTTGGGAAAACCAGGAATTATTCAGTCCATGACCAGATTTTGGGTCGCGAATCGCGGTTAAAATGTGTTTCAAAACACTATCAAAGCACTATCATTATCAAATCTTTTTACCAGAAGATCTACTCTGCTTTCCCAAAAACGAAATTTCTTCATTTTCAAAACGCAAATATGAGGCGTAGCAATTCTATTTTTCGATAATTTATGATCTGATACTGCCTTTGATGCATAGATAATCTCCATTATATGATATGATTTTTAAAAAAATATAAGAAAGATGAGAGTAGCTCGCTGGCGTTGTGGATAAGCACAGCACTCCACGATCGATGTTGCCAAGAGTCACGGGATGGGTGACCAAAATAATGGTCTCAGCTGCATTTGCAGTCGTTTTATCCCAATCCGCAATAGGACAGTATGGAGGGTTATAGCGTCCCTAACCATTAATAGGGAAGACCTAAATCCTTGCAGTGGGGACGATTCGAAATTTCCCATAGTTTCATTACGTTTCGAAATTTCCCGTACTTTTGTTCGTGGACAAACAGAGTAAGCACTTAGAATGTATCACAATCCAACTGACCTGTTCCTGGGTATTCCAAACCAATACTCGGGCTTCATACGCTTGCGGCCATACGACATGAGGGGCGTGGTTCGCGGCAGAGGGCGGCCGGCGGGCTTGCCCATGCGCAGTCTCAAGTATAAAGGTGGGTCATCACTGGGTCGCGCCGGCCTCGGTATTAATTCTACAGTACAATTTACACAGTGTAACAACATCCAGTACTACTATCTAAAGAATGAGAAAAAAAAAATGTGTTTTTTTAACGTTATCGTGTCTTAAATCAGGTAAATATAATTATAATTCTGTATATACAGAAATAATAATGCAGTTTGAAAGGATTAAAACCAAATTTGATCTAGTTTGAGTAACCGAATTTCTACCAATATCAATTGAAATATCCCAAAAAGTCGGACAAAGTCGGACTATTGGCTTACAATCATCTTGCTTGTTATTATAAAAAGTTAACTTTTCAGCTTAAACGCATAAATAAGGATGTAGTTATTTGGAACATGAACGAGCCAAGTATGTCTTTATATTTCTGTCTAGTAAAGAGAGTATTTTAAGATTTTATGAGTACATTGGTTAATACTTCAAATACCGGATATGAGACTCGATGTCACACTGACCTGCGCCGTGGTTTCGGCCGGGTTACCCGGTTTTATAAGTATTTAATAATGCAGGGCGATAGTATAAAAGAGAATACTATGGACCGGAAAAAATAAGGCTTATTCAGACAGTCAAGAATTTTTCAACAATATACTAACTAAATTTTCCATGTAAGGCGTTTAGAAAATGAAACAATGAATTAAAAAAAAATAACAATCGGTTTCTACCGATCGTTATTTTTTTAAAGAAGTTGCTTTTGAACTTTCATAAGGTGCGCACGTGAAACAACTAAAAGGCTTTTTAAGAGTAAAATATTTTTAGGTAATGGTTTAAACTGAATTTTGAATAATAATAGAGATGAACATAGTTAATAATAGTTTCAAAATTGCATATTATCTCACTTACTGTCAAATGAAGCGAAAAGATCAGGCATATCGTCAACAGAGACCATGCTCCGGTAGTCTAGCCTTGGCTGCGTTGAACCCGTCGACGACGTTGACTTAATATGTGATCTGCCGAAACCACCCAGCGAACTGCGCCTACATATTATCATCATCTTATTACTTAACATTGTATGTTTTGTCATCATTACAGATAATATCATAAAGACAGTTCGACACAATACGAACTTTGCAAAAATAGAACGTGTAATAGCCAAGTTTTGAGTTGAAACAAAAACTGGTAATACTGATTTATACATGATGTCAAAAAATCATCGTATACATATTTGTTTGCGCTTTTTGTTAATAGTCTTTTTATAAACGTGACATTAACACGTTCCTCGTGTAAAAAATTCTCGCGTTTTATTTGCAAAGTTAAGCCTGTGTTGTGGAGACCGGCTTTTAGATATGTACAAATGGCAGAAAATTAAATTAAGAAATATTATCTTTTCTATCATCAACTTAAAACTTTACTCCCATCAAATTAAGATCTAAAATACGTTGGTGAAATATGCCCGGTTAACCTGCTGTGCTGACTGGACAGAGACACTGTTGTACATAAGGTAAATAGTAGGTGTTGTATACACGATATGTGGTCCACCATATTGTGGCCATATATACACATCCTTATAAGTAATTATAATTCTTAAAATCTTACTTAAAGAACATTGGAACAATATGTAATCACACGTTGTTTGAAGATACATCCATACATAACATTGGCATGGTTATTGAAAATCGATAAGTAATACCTCCCTTCAAATTCCAATTGGCTATGTAACATAAACAAAATAACTTTAAATCATAATTAATTTTATATCAGTTCCTGTACTCGACAAATAATAGTTATACTTATAAAAACATTTATTGACACTAAACACATAACGCTTATTTTAACAAGACAGCATTAAAGCTAGCATGCTAAATATTAAATATTGAAAACTAAACAACATTTATTGTTATATGATTAGGTGCCCACAAGATAAACGCTTGTGTTTGATGGAAATGAGAGATGAAACTTTGAACATTTCTAAAAGATATGAAAACATCATAAATTTATATCAAACTAGATGAAATCGGACAATGACCGTGACAATGATTCAGACCTAAACTACACAAGGGAAATCGGTTATAACGCTTCTGATGATCTTCTAGTTTTCTTCCTAACACTTACACAACACACATGCTAACGAAAACGACATTTTAGAAGTTAACGAAATGAATCCCGTATTAAAAATATTCAATCAACATTGGATTCAACTGCAATAACTAAACTGCAAAAAGTTTTATATAATTTTGAGCCTTAATAAAACTGATTAAAAGATTGAATTCACATTATATTAAAAAATGAACCTATCGTAACATGCATCATATCTGCATGAACAAATTAGATATTATTATTAGTTAATAATACGGAATTCACATTACATACAAGACGACAGAATATATAACACAAACAATAGTGAATTTACACCTAATAGAGCGATACAAGAGTGATAACATCTGTACAATTTGATCTATAGTGATGCCACGACGTTTCAACTCCGAAATGGACATTGCGGAATCAATAAATAATTAAATGTAAAAAGTTTTATAACAATAACTTATTAACGTGTTCTACATTATTTCATTCAATTAAAACAACAATTCATTAAATTTTAAAACTTTTAAGATCTAGAATAACAGACTAACGGGGAATTACCCGTTAGTCATATAAATAATTATATCATTAAAACAAAATAAAATACTAGTATTTGTTTTTTAATATTCTGACAAAAGTATCTAGATAACAGATTTATAGATACGAAATTCTTGTCTGTTCTATGATATGCAACATACTAATTCTAGCCTCCTTATAAAGAAATTGTACGGCATGTATTTTATAGATTAAATTATATTCGGATACTTCACAGGCTGTATGAGGGTTACTATATGCTAAAATTAAAAAAGGCTAACTTTGCACTGTATTAGGCCGGAAATTTTGACCGCCAGATTATATCTTCTTTTATAGTCAAACATCTCTTTTTTGTGGCAGACATACATTTTTTATTTTGGTAATGAATTTTATACCGTATAGTAAAGTAACTTGAGTTGCTTTTGCAAAGTCTAACAAAAGCCGAACAGGCTACACATATATATTTTAGCCGGAAATGGGTCAAAGAACCAAACATCTCCAGCTAAATCTTACAACCGTAACCGTGTTCCAATATTTTTTTGCACAAATGAGGTTTCGTTACCACTATTCACTCATTGTTAACAAACTTTTTACATTAAGGGGCAGTTTCACCACCTACTGAATAAAGTCCCCGATAACCTATGAGAAAATTATCTGCCAGATAAATTGCAAATTTTGGTTTCATAAAGAGTTTCAAACAGAACTATCTGACGGATAATATCAGTGACTTTAAATTGTCAGTTAGTGTTATATGTTATATAACTATCTGGAACTTCATTAGAAAGTGATGTAACAGGCCCTTAATAACAGAGAAAACGTTTAGCATCATATAAAGCCCGTGTATAGGGATTTTTGTAACGCTGACACATCGACATCGAGAACGCGCACGTACCCTGAGCCGAGGGCGTCGTGAGGCGCCTCCTCTGACGGCGTTTTACTCAGGAACAGGCCCGTTCCAAACTCTACTAAATTCATAGGAGAGCTACTCCACGTTAGCATCAAAGGAAATGTACGGTATGGTTAATTCTTTACTTTTTTAATACAGGTGTAGACATGTGTATTTTTTTCTGGTAGTGTTTAGTATAATATTACCGATATACACACTCTTATGCTTATTATATTTATAATATTGTATTATAAAAACAAATATTCGTCACACCCTTTCTACTCATAGAACTTAGAGAATCATCAACCTTATGCATACATAGAACGATATTAGTTTTAGAGGGCCGTAACGTCAAAGCGACGCCATGACAGAAGTGGCATTTCCGCGGGAAATTTTAAAAAATAAATTATTTTACTTATTATATGAATATTTTTTATATAATTCATGTATCTATTTAATAAAAAATTATCCAAAAAAGTTGTCTACACCCCTATTAAGAGAACTTTTCGTGTGTGCGATTTGTCAGTAAAAAACGATCGGTCGGCTGTCTTATTGGGTTTGTAATTTGTGGCAGTAGAGTTCATGAATGGTACGTATGCAAATGTGTGATTTGCGTAATGTAAAAATGTAATCGATTGGTTAACGACAAAATAAATTTTGGATTGAGTACATCTCTTTCTTTCTGTTTGGATAAAAGAAAAGACATTAAAGATTCAGAAATTAATATACAATTAAACGTAATTACATTGTAGGTATACATTTTAATGCTTGATTAAAATCATACAATATTTTTTAGTATAAATAAAACAAAAGAAAAAGCTTATAGAAGACCACAATATGACTCACGTTTTCAAAATCTTGTATTATAAAGGGCATGTGCGTTATCGTGTCAAAATGTATGCTTTAAATGGTTCTTAGTTTCTTTCAACATAATTAGAAAGAGATGCACTATATCAAAAACAAATTGAATGTTAAACAAATCCTGCCTAACATGTGAGTATGTTAAATGAGTCTATATAAATTGGTGGCGTTCTAACAATATGACGTGACAGCAGCGTACGATCGGATCGAACTACTGTTGCAGCCAACCGGTTTACTAGCATGTAGCATATTCACGAAACGTGTCTCAAGATTTCGAAACTAACACTCGTATCTATAGTCGAGAGTCGTCTTATTCACCGTTCTTCCGAAATGTCCTTATTCACGATAACACGAACAATTCACCAAGATTATTCGCAATTAGGTGTGCGCCGTTAGGAATTTGAACAAATGGTAGAAACCTTCAACCACATATTACGGATGGGGATTTCGAAGGAAGACAGCTAATTGACCTACTGTTGTGTTATCTTTTGTAATATTTCTAATAAATATTCTGTTTTGATGCGGAACAATTAGCTATTAATAGTTCTTACCGCATTCAAATCCTCATCTATCATTTACCAATATTTGCTTTAATTATGACATTTTATAAGGTAATTACTTCTCTCGGCTATAGATACGAGTGTATAATAGCTCGACTTTTATATTATACGATTAGAGTGTGATACGTCAATAATTATAAAAAATGTACTTTATTTGTATTGTGTTTATTAAGCATAGGTTTTCCTTGATTGCAGTCAGTGCATATTTTTTTATGAGACACGTCACGTCAGTTTTTTAACGCAACGTGTACAGCTTCTCAATTAGTCTGTATTAAGTGTCAGCGCTTGCTTTACGATATTAAACGTTAATCCCCTGTGTTAGGTTAGGTTTTGAATTGTCATACCTGTTGAATACTTTGGAGAATACGCTGGTAGAATTGTGGCTGTCGGCCGACGTTGGAAGGGAGTCTGATTGTGATCCTTGCGCGGGCGCACCTTCACCTGTCAGCCCTTCTACCCATGATAGTGGATACGAAAGACGCTTCAGCATCTGAGAATGTTTATAATCGGTTAGTCTGGTGAAAGAAATTAATGCAGGTGACACTAATATCTACCATACAGACAATCATATTAATTTTTTTTCGATAATAGATATTGAGGTTTTACCGACCTAAATGAGCTTTTACGTGGCTCATTTAGGTCGGTTAAAATTAGGTCGTTAATTACGTATTATATTATTATTTTTTATCAATTTTGCATTCACAATGCTATATCAAATAATCCACCAGCCCCAAGTACTCTGAGAATGGTGGATTTTTAAGCATTTTTCGTTAAGATTTTTTACACATTTTATTTAAATTTTATAGGTGCAGTAAGAAAAAGAGGTGCCTCCAGTATGATGCCAGGAAACTTTTCTCAGTAATGGCTCATTTATCTAATATGTAATAATTGTAAATTCTTATTTTAAATCCGAACGAAATTTTCAAATATTCTAACCTTATTTTTCTTATCAGGTTTAGACGCATCTTCCTTCTGCGTGTTACCGTCGAGGGAGAAAGAGACGGCTGCCGACTTTCTTGGCAACCTTTCGTTTTCACCGAGGGGTGGGGCAGAGAGGGGAGGCTCAGCACGTGGTAGACAAACAGGCGGCACCCATTCAGCTGATAGAACTATATCCGCGTCGCTATATACCTGAACAATAAAAATGATATAATGTTTAACACGAACGCGATAAGAGTCATTTTTGAACTTTACAACTTGTGCATTAGATTTGTTATTGCGTATCTTTCTGTATTTGAATAAGTCTAATATGTGACGGGGTATTATTCTTACAATCCACTAACTCACAATTTTAATACACAGCGTTATTAGTCATGAAGACACAGCGCGTTTCACATTTGGAACTGTGAATAGTTTTAAGAATATCACAACAAATGATATACAATAACAATTAGTATCAACTGCTGTGTGATTGAAACTAGTCTTTCTAACATGATTATACTATCGCAAAACTGAAAACTTGAAATATCGCCTTATTGACAAACATAAATTCCACCAAAAATACACAATAAGAAATACATATTTATACAGCATACATATACAATTTAACGTAAACTTAGAACAAAAAGGAAAGAACCTCGACATGAGCTTGAGATAAAATAAAAGACTGGAAGAAACATTCTGAATTCCATTGGAAATACAAGTTGTTCAAAGACAGTCGAAAGAAATATAGCTATATAAAAAGAAGAGCCACACATGTATCGAAAAAGATACAAATGTTACATTGAACCACAGCAAAATAAAACACAAAATATAACAAACATCGACTCAATTACACATTAATGTCCTCACCAAGCTCGCACTCTGCAAGAATTCTATTGACCTATTTAAAAATTCACGGGTTTGTTTGTGTTTTAAAAATTGCTCCGATATCGAAACTAGTTATATAAAAAACGATAAATTTAATTCAAACAGTTAGTCAGGTATACTAATAATAAAACATGTTGACGTTTGGCATTTAAAAAAGACACACATTTCTATTTAAAATAACTAATAATTACGGACATTTTTAAATAGACAACTATTAGATACTAATTGTATTTCTGCTACTTCGCCCACGTAAATTAAAATCTATGTCATAGCACCTCGTAAGTCGAAAAAATAAAAAAAATCTGTTCATTACTTTTTTCAAAGCAAACAAACGCTCACATCTTTCCTCTTTACATTAGTAGTATAGATGGAGCGGGCATTAATGTGTATTTGATCCTATCTCTATATATATAATAAGCTATCCTCTCCAACATTAATGACATCACTGAAGTCCTTCACAGAAGAGCGTGTCCGTAACATCGGCAAACTGTTCACCTCGTGCGATAAATCCGACATCCTATCGTCATCGCTGTGTACATCGAACCTTCGAAGGAACGTGTTCTCGTATGCCTCATCACAGTCCCATTTATGTAACGGGATATCCGGTTCGGCAATCTCGTATATAGTGTCAGGTAGGATATCGTGGCAGTAGTCATCGTGGTCTACTACCGATATATGATGGAAATGATGCTCCTAGAAAAGCTCTAGTGTTAAACTCGAATTGATTTGGCGTCGAAAAAACACTAATATTTACTTTAGACTAAAGAAAAAATGCGTTGGCATCCAGTGGGACGATCGTTTTTTGTTCGTCATCAGATGACGCGACAAACGCGTGAATTCCTGTCAAAGTATTTTTACTACGAGCGTGAACTAAATTAGACGTAAATGATAAGAACATAAAATCATCCTATTACATTTTTTTTTCAGCTTACTTAAAAGTTATAAAAGACCAAGAAGTTTTAGTGACTAAACCAAGAAGTGATAGAATCTTTTTAAATTTACCAAGCAATTAATCTAATATAGATTATGATTCAGCTTAGTTACCATGAGGCAGACTTTAGTTAATTTCTAAGTTTTTTTTATTATTACAGCTATCATCATCGCCAGCCTATTAATGTTACCCACTGTTAGGGCTCAGGTATTGCCTATATATGGAATCGAATCAAATAGAATAGGGAAAATGAGCATTGGACACGCCACGCGAGCCCAATGCAAAATGGTGAATTATTATAGGTATTTAAAGATAATATCATTACAAAATGATAACACCTACCTTTTTGGCGTTAATAGGTGTAACATTAAGGAGTGGATCGCGTATGTCGATGCCGGAATCATGGTAAGACAGTTTGACGAGATACTGCGCGTTATCGGCGGCCGCTTCCGGCGCGTCCGGCACGTCCGGTACGTCGGGCACGTCCGGGACGTCCGGTACATCGCCTGTCGCGCTGTCCACTCTAGAACGAGTGCCGCTCGCTTCGAAACTGTCCTCTTTGGTTTGCTCGATAGACGATACCTATGAATGGTAATGTTTATATTAAGGCGTAAGGTTCGCTAACAAATATCAACGGATATATATAATAACTTATATCGATTAATATATATGTTTACATATAAGTTGATATCTCATCTAGAAAATTAACCAACCCGATGTGGCGCTACCAACATTGGCTCTTACTTACGAGAAATTTTGGATTTGCTCCGTTATATGAAAGAGCGAACGCACAATTTTTTTTTTCTTTAAATTTAATGCTTATGTTCATGTAATAAGGTTTATTGTAGTAAGTAGGTAGTAAATCGGGTATTCCCCTATACGTTACTGGGCATCCTCAAACGAGTACTTCTTTTTCATTATTATAATAAACATTTATTAAATAAATCAAACTCAATCTTTACTTTATACTTTTGAGTTAAAAGATCAATTATTTAATAAAGCAGTTTAAAAATCGCAGTTTTTCATATGGATGATATATATCCAATAAGGGTAGATACCCTAATGCAATGCTCAAATCTATACATTACAGTATTCGGTTCTTTAACTACTAAATGTTTTAACTGTTATTACGTCATAATATTATGTAAACTATTTAGTACAAACCTCGCTTCCTTGGTCAATTGACATCCTATCTTTACTGGGGATCGCCCAATGATGGTCTAGTAAAGATTTCCGCCTGTCTTCAGTAGTCTGTTGCTTAAAAAAAAATTAAAAAAATTGTTTAATTATAAAAGTATATCATATCAGCTCACTTATGACCCAACTGCTGGAGCTCAGGTCTTAAATGGATTGATGGGTATTAACGACTGCAGATGTAGCCGGGACCCACGTTTTAGCATACATTCCGAAGCACGGAGGAATCAGACAATAAATTTTTGGTCACCCATTCTTTATGCCCCTGGTAATATAATCTATACATCGCAGTCCGAATGCGCTATCCACTATGCTATCAGCTCCTTATATCATATACTACCCTTTAGTCTTCCAACTTCATCGAGTTAAATTCTAGCCTTCAACAACTACATTATATAGTTTCCCATAAAAGAAAAATTTTTTAAAACAGGTCCTGTAGTTTCAGAGCCTATTCAAAAAAAAACAAACAATAAAATATGTGATAGTAGAATACTCAAAGATTAATGATAAAAAAAACTAAGCATCAGAATAATACGCCATGTGCAAGTGAAAGGAAAAATATGTATCGTAGGTGTAAGCGAGAGTGAAATAAAGATTTACAACGGCTGGAAATATCATACCTGTAGGGCGGACGGCGTCACTAAATAATTACATTTCATTCATCATCCTTATAGTAGCTAGATAGATAAGGCCGATTTTTGCGTCTATGTTACTTGTAATATGTGTTTTTATGTCAATGTTTACAGTGTGCAATTAAGTATACATTTATTTATTCATTAATTTTTACCTGTAGGGCGGTGGGCGTGACTAATTCACGTTCGAACGCCTTAGGGAATGCGGCGCCGCCTCTGTCGTCCGCGTCCCCCGTGCCCTCCTCCCCTTCCGCCCCCGCCGTCTGTAACTCCGGAAACGTCTCGTCCTAAAACAATAATATGACCAGTATACTACCCCTTCAACAAAAACGTGGTATTTAATAGTACGAGACGCCGCCAACTAGACCAAATAGTAAATAATGCTTCTCCGAAAACAAAATTTATTCTTCATCTTTATTCCAAATGCTATTACGAATCCAAAGAAACCTATTTTTAGATGATTTATGATATAACAAAAGCAGGACAGACCTCTGATGTACAGATAATCTTCACGAATTGTTAAAATTATAACAAAGTAATAAGACATTTTCGGTATTATCGTTCGCGTACAAAGTAGACCTCAGAAGTTGTCAGTGTAGGCGTGCAATCTTGTCAATTGTAGCTTTTAGCATTGACGTCTCACAAGGTTGTCAAGCCCTGAACAAGACCGTTACGTCACTGATTAACATGAGCGTGCTGAATACGGAGCGCTCCGTGTAAGTAGGGGAAAGGAAAACCAAACGGACCACTTATGAAAAAACAAACATGGAGAAAAATTATTCGTTTTATTAAAATTTCTTCAAGATTACAACTAACCAACACTGTTAACTCTAGATTACGTATGAACCAGAGCTTGATTAAATCACAGATAATGAAGATATAGGATGATTTCTAATGCCTTCTTTTGCCGTTTTACCCTAATGAGTGAGGCAAAACAGACTTACATAAAATAAGTCAGTTAATATACTTCCCACATAAAAATACTGTGTCTATATCTTCTTCCCCTAATCCTAACGCAATTTGGATTTGCACCCAACCTTCACTTGATTCTGAGAACAGATGAGAGCAGTGCAGACACTGCGTCATCATCATCAGACAAATTGCCATCTATCTTCGCTTTTTACATCAATTTTCTCCCTTTCACTCGGGTCCGTTTTGCCTTATAGGCATAAACACAACAACTTGAAATATTCAGATAATAAATTCAGATATCGCAGAAATACTTCGTTAAAAGTTAAATCAAATGTCAGTTTGCATACATATAACACAAGAACATATTATCACAAACTAAACCAAACTGTAGGGTAATCGAAATAAATTAATTTTACATCATAACGTAAAAAACAAACTTACCTTACTGTGTACGTGTAGCTGACGCAATTGAGCACATTGACTGAGAGCGGGAACTACTTTGTAACGCAACGCGATCATAAATTTACCTACAGGGCCCGTTTTGCCTTTCTTTCACCTAAGTGCTAATTCATCATATAAAACATATTTAAAATAAGTTTAATTTATTGCTAAGTACCACCAACGATCTCATTCAAACCTTTTTGATAGTTTCTGTAAACTTTTTCTATTTTTAGTGTTTTGTTTTATTATAAGTAATTCAAGAAAATATAGGGAACCCATCGTGCTTTTGATTTGAGTAAATTCTCTTTACTGTAAACGCATACGCATAACTATCTAGTGTTACTGATACAGATTATTTTAATTTCGACTTTAATGCGGAAGTCATATCATGATGCTTACTTTGACTAGAAGTGAATCCTTTCCAGGTGAATGTTCTGATTTATTCATGTAGTAGATTTCGGCTTGCTCAGCCCTGAAACCAAAAAAATATTATATTAATACTAAACATCGCATATTTCTATTACATCCGTGATGTTATGTCATGTTAATGATCAAAATTGCTTGCAAAGAGTATATTAGTTTCAGACATCTTCGTAATATAGACATTTAAATCTTTAAATATACTCGTAATAAAGTTCATTCATATTTTCGATTTATTTTTTCCTTTAATCTAGAACTTCTACCTTAAAAACTAAAGTTTAAAATCGTTGGTGGCCGTCATGTTTATAAATTGTTTAGATTACGTTAAAAGAACAACATTCCATTAATATAAGAAAGGTACAATAAATATATATTATTTACTATAAGAATAATAGCGACTTAATCGGAGAAAAAATGCATATTAGATCGACTCAAACCGTCGTTTTAATCTACCAACTACTTAAAGTCATTAACTGTAGTATGCATATAAATCGACTAACTGCCGGTTTCAATAACTTACTATATACGTAACTGGAGATTTAAAGTATACCTGTCTTTGTTGTTTACAATGTAAAAGACAGTGACAGATATACTGTCAAATCTCCAGTTACGGATATAGTAAGTTATTGAAACCGACCGTTAATCGAAGAAAAATTTACTTTAATTTACGCGGGCGAAATCGCGATTATATGAAATTTAAAGTAGTAATAGTTATTCTATTTCAGAACAATAATTATTAAATTTCATAACCAATTGCGATTAAATTTTGAAGTAGGTATACTGACTTTTGCACGTTGTGATGATTGTCCGGTCCGTGCGTGCGCATGTGCGCGATGTCATAGAATATGGCCGCGTTCACAACGTACTCCATGGGCGCTATTACACCGTAAGACTCAGGACCGTGTTCCATCACCAATGTGTCAGACACGTTGGGATCGAACATCACCGCGTTCGGTGTCACCAGTAACACACCGGACACTACACCCTGTAAATGCGAAACAAATAATACTTGAAAATAATTCATATTCATAAAATTATTTATATGTAAGTTGACTACATGAAGATACAAGTTACAGAATAAAAATAATATAGATTATTAATATTTTATTCTGAGATATAATATACGCATTTCTAAATTATTTTATAGCAGCAAATAAATTATTAAGTAAGTATGCCGAATAAACATAAAGCACTATACCTCATTGACAGACTTGTCATCTTTGATATTCGAATTGATTTGGTAAAATATTTTTAACTGATCGTTATTTAAAAAAAAGGATGATAGTAGTCGATCAGTAAAATATGAAAATAAGATATTTTACCGTTTTAATTGAATGTCTGTTATTTGCTATCGAATTGTAATTCTATATGTTTTGCACCTTTTGTTTCAACAGCTGATACAAAAACATTTTATGAAATCATAATTTATTTGTTTGCATACAAAACATCTGAATACACAATACCACTTTCGTCATACTATTATTGTATTACCTAGAAGAGTTACTTGCGAAAACTTAGTTAATATATATTTAAAAAAAAATGTGTTATTCCCTAAAGTTCTCCATTGCTGTAAGTTTGGTTTTGAAATGTGACGAAGCATTTTAATAACATTGTTTTTAAACAAGACGAAATCATATATTATATTTAATACATAAAAAAAAAGTTTTATTCAAGTAACCAGTCTCTTATATTATATTTTAATTTTTAAATATTAAAACAAATATTCATTTTTAGAAAGTATAGAGGCTTATTTGTAAAACACTACCACACACACCTCGGATACAATATGTTCAAAATCATAAACATTAATGCGCACGTTTTGCTTTAATAACAGATAATATAAATTACAATACGAATGAATAACTCTTAACGTAACACCAATATACTATTTCAGACAGCACGCGAGCGTTCTTGTATTAGTAAAAATAAAGGGCGTCATTTCAAAATTTACCAAAATCAGTTTGAATAAAGAAATGTACCTACAGTCACAAAATTTTCTTAGTTCACATAATGTATTTGTAGGCAAATTTATATCGGTGTTTTTGTAATTTTTAATAATTTTTTGATAAAAGTAATTTGGCAAATTGTTATTTATGGTCCTTTCGTTTTCAAGCGGCGTAATGTTATGATAATATTACGTGGTGATACTATAATTTACACGGGTGAAGTAGCGAGAAACAGCTAGTATTACACACGTAGTTTGATCATCCAAAGCAATACTGATGAAGCATGATCACGTAGTTAGATACTCGTATAGTATATATAAGTCTTAATACTAACTGATTGAAACAACAATTATTTGACTGCTACGTAGCAACCGTACCAAAGAACGACACACTAAGGTTTGTGTTGACTTTACCATTAATTATATGTTATCAAACTATACTGTAGTTCATGATTGAAGTGCAAACAACATTAATGACAGCAAGTTCATTATCCTATACATACCGTCACATTTACTGTACAAAACAAATATTCCAAACCATATAAATTAGAAGCACAAGCTAGTATTTATTCAGGGAATGAGTAGACATTAAATAAAATTATAATCATGGTGAATGATAAAAGAAAGTACGTATACATTATTCAATGTTATCTAACGATAATATTTTAATTAAGAAACTAATGAAAAACTACACCATGACAATCACGCAATTAAAATACGATTAACATAGATGTTCGCACGTAATTTTATGCGTATTATCGTTTATAAAACTTTAATAAACTAAATATATAGGTTCTGTTAAAATAAATGAATATCTATATCTTCATGCCGTATCTCTAGAGGGTAGGTAGAGAGGACCGAACGCCATAAAGTACTGTCCTTTCATGCACCTTTCGCCTCATCCACTTTCATTATTATTTTCATACATACTAGCCGGTTTATATGACTTCGGACGTCACCTTCTAACAGCACGCAACGGCGTTGATTTGATCATTAAACGTGTGTCGTGGACTTCCTCGGCTTCTGCATGCTTGTACTTTCGCGTTGTATATCAGCTTTATAATTCTTTCATCCGCCATTATATCTATATGTCCGATTCAACCGAGCATGTTTCTGTTGATTTTTACACTGACGCTATCTTTCAAGTAAGCTCTCTTTCTTATATCTTTATTCCAAATAAATGAATAGGTACGTAAATACAACTACTGATAAATTTTTCAATAAAAATAAACTAATTAATTTGAATTATTTACATATAAATGGTGACAGATAAGTATAGTATTTACCTGTCCATCCGTGATATGGCGTACGTTGATCTTGAGGAACCGCTGAGGGGCGCTGCTACTCGTTGGCGCCTCTGGCGACACTGGCCGCAAACTGTCCAGGATTTCTGCACAATAGTGAAACAATTAACCAATAACAAAACTTTAGAATGATAAATTTTTACAAGATTGCTACCATGTACCATTTCGGCGCTGTTGCAAGTCAATCTGTGATCATGGCGCTTGCGATAGCCGAAAACTCATTAGAAACAACGTTCATGGTAAAAAAAACTATAATTCTAATGTAAATGACCGTTGAAGCTTAAATTATATTAACAAAACAGCATATTAACAAAACACTTTTGCTGGTCAAACAACCGCACGTCAGGCTATAAAGTAACATCTATAACAAAATTGACTTTAAGGCCTACTCTGTTATCCGAAAACTATATTTTCGCTTATTTTTGAAACGTTAATACGACTCCGAAGAAATCCGAATTTCGTTTGTGGCCAAACAATGTAGGAATGTAGGCCCTTTAGCCTATAATTTTCAGGATGAGTGCGAAGTCGGCGAACTAGTTTAAGGTTAAGGTTACATTTACACCTGCGTTAATAAAGTTATGTAGTTTACTCAGAGAATATTTTGAAATTTAATCTTTATATAATAAACTTTAAGCTAGAATTTTTAACAGAAATAGAAATATCTGTTTAAACATTCTTATACTGCGAAACAAATCGGCGTTAAAAATGTGTGAACAACTTTGCATATTGATATGTTGTAAAGTTTTAAATCATTTTTCATTAAATAGTAGAAATTTTGTATCTGCCAAAAATCATAAGTTTTTAAGTATTATTTCCAAGTGATATGTATTTAATAACAAATTAAAAGAAAAAAATGGACAAACAACACGGCAAATCGATTGCGTGTTATAAACAAAACTATAAAACATGCACTTAGAACTTTACTGCATTAATTTAATAAAAGGAAAACGTAAAGGAATTTGAAAACTAATAAAAAAGTCAAGTCACAAATATAATATAGTAAGAAAGAGTATTAGATTAAATGATAGATAAATATACATAAATTATCTAACAGAGCCGAAGGAGGTGGAAGAAACTATTTTTCTTTACACCTTGCATATGAATAACATGTGACATTAGAATTCTGTCAATTCGCGCATTCTACCTGCATATATGCGACGGTTAATGTGTTTGTTATACAAAGAATTCTAAAATTCTCCTCTTTCGCTCTTTCTTTTGGTTCCATTCTGATAGACGTGCTATTACCTTAGTTATTAGCCTATTTCTTTTTAAACGTAAGCTGTAACATCTAAAAGCATTGCTCTTAGTTTTATGTAGGTATCTTTGTTGCAGCTTTAGGTATTTGTTCGAATTATTGTATCTCAATAGATGTGAAAAAGCTCTTTATTTATTAGACAGTGTAAAAATTTACAATCTAAAAAGATGCGTATTTGTACAGTACGTGTACTCAACACATACATATGTAAAACGGGACTATTATAGCTTATGTAAATTATTGGATAACAGTAACGATCCGTAGACTGGTAGCACATGAAACTTGGAAAAACTTTGTAATAGGAAAACTTCAGTAATACAAGCCCAAATGTAGCAATATTATTTAAGTATGCCCCAGAGAGCGCGTGAAGGAAATCACTAACATTAAATCATATGTAATATTTCTAAGTTAAGATACTGGGCAAAAATGCGAATTTATAAAATATTCTCGACAAACAATTATTATTATTTTTTTTTATATTCATTCGGCAGTATTTTATATAATGGATTTGTTTGATAAATATGTTAATTATTCAGAAGCCAAGGCTTGGCACGGTAAATTTCCCGACAATAAAACTTCACGAGTAATTAATTAAAAATAATTCTGACGCTATAATCCGCGTTATATTCTATAATTCTTATCAACAGCAGCTCGTGATTTCGTCTCCTTTTACGTCAACGTATGGACACTTACATTTCGAAGACGTTAAAATTAGCAAAAGCAAAGCAAAAGCAAAGATCCAATCATTAGTATAAGGAAATCAATATGAATCTATTACCTTTTTCCTGTGCAGGTTCACTGGGAGGGCCTTGCGTCGATTCCGACGTGTTGTCGCCACTCTCCGACGGACCGTCCGACTCTTTATCTCCATCTGGGAAACCATAATATCATAAACATTATGATTCGATGCACTAAAATCGGTAGATAACACTGTACAGTCGAACGCACCATGGTACCAACGTTTCAGGAATTCAAAACTGAACATTCTTGCACTGAATGTATTCAAGGTCCATTATATTGAAGACGGTTATCATTCACGATAAAGCGGAGTCATATCTTTATCGGGGCCGGTGTTGGAGTGTTATTCATACCGTTCGTTTTTAATTAACACAATCGGGTCAGTTGTGTCAGTTTGAAATAAAAATAGGTGTTGTTAACTCGCGGGCGCGACCGAGTCTGCTCTTGCGCCGTTGCGACTGTTTGCGGTGTAAATAGAAGAAAAATTTGTTACCATGTCTACGTCACGCGCGAACGACTAGCGCCAAGGTTGTATTGTTATTGTTTTGTTTTATGACGCCCAGAGAACTCTTCGCCGCATATAATGCACACGGTGTATGCCTGCATCAAAACAACATTTCTGATACTGGCTTAGTTGTTTTGTTTACGTGAATATAAACGAAGTATTAATTTAATTTTAACAAGTATAAGGAAAATAATAAAATTGTATGCTTTAATCAACGTCGTTAGACAAAACTTTGAGCTTCTTAATTTCGAACAGAAAATAAGGTAAATTTTTAAGACTTCAAAAAAGGAGGATCTCAGTTTGACCTGTTTGTATGTATGTATGTCTGTTTGTGCACGATTATCTCGAGTTTGGCTGAACTGATTTTGATGCGATTTTCAGCATAGTATTTGTCAGACTTAGGACAATGGTATATTGACCGATTATAAAATGGAGGTTTGTACTTTTATAAAGTTTTGACGCGGTTTTCAGAAAAATATTTTTAGTGTTACCTATTATACATATAAAAATATATAATATCCGTTAAAAGGATAAAATAAAAACTTTTTTAGAAAAAATATAACTTCAAATAAAAAAAAGTGAAAAATATCATTTTTCTCAAAAACGACTTATTCAAGAGAATGCTATTAAAGTCGGGCGCCTATCATTTAATTAATAACCTACAGAAAACCTCCGCCTTGATAGCATTTTCTTGAATAAGTCGCTTTTGAAATAAATACTATGTTTCATTTTTTAAAGTTTGAAGTCAGTTAAATGAAAAAAAAAAATTTTTTTTATGTATACCCTATAATTGTTACATGAATCATAATGTTTTCAGTGAAGTTTTCGTGCAAAAAACAAGATTGAAAATTTTTATCTTCCGTAAACAGAAGAAACGGGTTGATTATACTGAAAACCTAAAATTATACTCAATGCATCATCGCATATGTCAGATAAAACAACAGTCATATGACTAAGCGAGCAATCAGAACATAAAAGAGGTTGTGCACTCGACACAATGTCTGCACAATACAGTACGTAATTGGAGTCATACATCTCGATATTGATTTCTAGAACCCGTATCCGAATTGACAAACGACTGACAACGGCGAAGGCCGGGTGTCGTAAACCCCGAGTTTCTCGTTTAAAACATCTGTCACGGTTAAGTCAGAGCTTGAACTACTGTTTCGACGTAAAATAAAATCAATCGTCGATAGATACACAATACACAATTAATACCTGTTAACAGAAACATCATAAAATCGAATTTAGATAAGGTTTAATTAATAAGATTATGGTAATAAAAAGTATGTAATAAAATTGACGTACTACTAAATGGCAATTATGATGTTCAAGAAGTTTTTTAAAATAAAGAAAATTTTTATCTTTCCTACTCATAAAAATATATCTAGTTAATAATCTTTTATATTAGAAATAGAATCCTTTGTTAAAGTGTTGGCCAAATGAAATCTCTTTACTGGTTGCAAACTCATGAACGGCGAGGTACGCTATTACATTTTACGATGGGAGGAAATGAAAGCTTTCAAAAAGACAGTTTTTAAAGAAATCCACTGCGCCAAACTAGCCTTCCACGCCATAGCACGCGACCCGGTCATTCACTACAAAAAGTATGGTTTTTGTTTCTGCAGCAAGATACTTTGCGACTTCAATTTTAAAATGCAGAAGAATGCTATCAATTAAATTTATTTGTTCATACAAGATTATATAAATAAAATAACACGCTAGATCTACTTCTATTAACTGTGGAGTCAACAAAAAAAGTTATTTATTTGAGTAATCAGATTCTGAATAATACCCACAAAAACTCCCTAGGCTATGCAGATATACATGAATTTTTCTAGTATGCGTTTGTGGCATGAAAATATTCGGAGTAAAAGAGAGTTAAAACTGAATTCTTTGAAGTGATATCGTGAAATATTAAGTAGGTCACTTTGATAGCGATAACTTAGTCAGACATTATATAATAACGGTATTGTTCAGCATGGTCAGTTCGGAGGACGTCGACGGAGCACGTCGATTATGCAGCGAGCATAATTTATAGCTGTAATTACGAATTGATTCGCTAAAACTATAAGGTTGGACATTAAAAGACTGATTCTATTGTACAGAACAATATAGAATAAAAAGAGGCCAGATATCGATCATTCACTGTTTGTATGGGATTCGATGCCATGATTTTGAGTCGTTCACCATTCTTCTTGTTTCTATATCTGTTATTGATCTCTACGGTCTGTTTAGGGAAAATAAGATTTCATTCTTATTAAAGTAGAATGTTGTATATTATTTGAACAGCATATCAGTGATGACAACGGTTTAACAGTTCTATAGAGGTAACGTAAAGACGACAAAATCTTTTACAGACTAAATAGACAGTCTCATAAAACCGAAATAATTTATTGAACCACAACTCTGTAAACAGTGCGGCACGTTAACTGATCAAATTATTTATTAAAAGATTGAAACTTATTTTGAACAAGCCTCAAGTTTCAAATGAAAGGCACACTTTTCCAATTATCAAACATAAACAGAATTTATAATACGGAAGTGAAACTTCATTGCGAGGCTTTAGCTGCTTCAACAGAGGCCATGCTTAGAGTACTCAGTCATACTGAATCGTTAGTTGATTGTAATATTACCCAAGATCAAACTGTCGAGATCAATTTAAGTCAATTCCATAGAAATAGCCAGCCATAAGAACCCTCAAAACAAACTTTTCTACTAAGCTAGTAGAAGTTCGCGGTAGTCAACCTTTCTACACATAAATGTAAATATAATTAGTGATATGAAATGTCAATTCAATACACTTACGTCTGTTTATTTTGGGACATCTTTAAATCATATATTTGCCGTACCATTAAAATGTGGAACAGTCTCCCATCCCACGTATTTATAATCAAATATAACTTTGGATACTTCAAAAGAGATGTGAAAAGGCTCTATAATAGGCCGGTAAGATAGTGGTAGCTACCAGGAATAGTTCCGACTTCTGACAGCTGCGACTATTATTAGACTGTAATGTCACTTCCCACCAGGTATATTACAGACACTTTGTTGTTTGCAACAATAAAAAGAATAAAAGAAAACAATGTCTCATTATAATACAAAGAGGCAATTTTTCATATAATTCGACAGAATTATAAACCTTTTCTACTGTAAATAACTCACCTTTCCTCTTATCGGGCACAAGCAACGTCTGCCCAGGGAATATGAACTGTGTCGCGAGCCTGTTTAGCTTGGTCAGCTCGGAAGGTGTCGTGTCAAACCGAGCCGCTAACGACGTCAGCGTGTCACGATCACGCACCTGACAAACAACGGAGATTTTATTTAATAAATAAAATAAAAACTTTATAAGGAAAATAAATAAACGTTCATTTTGAAAATACATTATCGAATATAATTTTAATGACTACTTTACATTGACATCACACTTGTGATCGGTCTCCGATGCGGAAGTTTTTTTCGCAAGGGCCAGTCATAGTATGGATTACCAAAAATTTATTATTTCGAGTTTATCCATGCTTTGGAAGGCACTTTAAGCTTATGGTTATCGTCAATCGTTAACACCCACCAATCCCCATTGGGCCCGCGTTGTGGGTTATGGTGTTCGATTCTTATCATAGGGAAGAGCTGTACCCCAGCCGTAGAAACATTATTAGGAGGATGATGACACTTAAGACTGCCACCAGTGCGAATTTTCACTTATTTGTGCTATTTTCAGGCGTTACGGGGCAGCCAGCTGGTATTTAGCATACTATATAAATTAGGGATTTAGCATACTATATAAATTTTATGTGCTACTATCATGCAATATTAGATGATGACACAGCGGTCACACGCCACATATGAGTCCAGAGTCTCACGATACGTATTGTTACAAAAAGAATCCTACACGGAATTATTGAATAATATATTTTTTTAGTTTCTCACTTTATGCTCTCTAGAGGGCGCTGTTGCCAATTAAATGTAACGTCACATAGCCTATAGCACGCGGACAAATAATACGCTTCTAATGATACCTCATTTGTCCAGTTACAAAGAGTAGGTTCTAAGTTATAAGGGAACAGATGAACATTCTTACATACATATGTACATACTGGCCAAAATCATAACCCTATTCGCCTCTGGTGTTCAAAAATGTCATGTGAGGGATTCAAATCGTACCTTTCACATACAGGTAGACTGCTCTATCTGAGGTCTCAACCTTAGCGAATTTCTCAAGAACTACTGACCTATTTTCTGCAATGTTCAGGTAATATAGGTTATTCTTTAACAGCCCAAAGAAATATTTAGAATTTTCGATATGGATTAAAATCTTTTCTTTTTTAGTTATATAATATAGACTGAATATTTGATTGTTTGTTTGTATTGGATAAGCTATGAAACCACAGAACTTATTTTAAAAATTCTTCCATGTTCGGGAAGCCATATCATACGCGGGTGACATAGGCATTAATTTAAGAGAGCTATTCTTAAGATGAGTACATCCTTAATATATTAAACTAGAGCAGTCGCCCGAAAGGTTATGACTGCCGAATTTTTTAAGTAATGCTAAGTCAGCTGAATATATAGCAGCATAGCCTTGTGAATGCAAAATTTATAATTTATATTATTTTGTAAACATTTAGCTCTCCTTACCGTGTAAGTCATAGTTTTGATGGGCGGTGGAGGTGGTAATCTCTTGACGTGTTCATCTTCATCTGCAGACAAAAAATATAATTTATTAAAGATATTTGAAGTTATACACCTTAATAATATGTAACTACGTCATCATTTCAAAGAGGAAAATAGATAATCAAAGTATTAATTTCCACCATATTGGACTGGTTGGATGTCTATTAGATTCTATTTCCTTTAATTAACAGCACATACATATAAGCACTCGGTTCCAGATTCAGTCAAATAACCATTTGTCTTCGAATACGAGCGATTATCAAAATTAATAATTCAATGTCATTTATTCATCTTGGGTTGTTGATCAAGTCGAAAGCTATGCCAACGCTAATCTACGGCAGCGGCAGGCTTTGTATAGATAGACAATGCAAATTGCAATCACGTAAGAATATTTCAGTCCAGGGTCTCGATTTTGATTCACTTCAATCAATGCCATGTCAATAATTGCATTTTCCCACTGCATTATTACTTTAACACCAAATATTTTTAATGCAGTAATATCTTAATAACTTATATCTTTGTAATTTTGTGAAACAGTAACAAGAACTGTGCAAAAAAAACTATTTTCTCTGAGTGAACAAAAAAGGATTTTAAAATACTTTACTAAGTATAAAAAACAAATAAATTATTATGAAATCGTTAAAAAGTCACTCACATTAATATTCCTTATCAAAATATAAACACTTATTTAATAATAGTTAAATCTAGCGGATACAAAATTTACTTCAATCTGACGAATCCTGCGGCCTATTCAATTTATCAGACGCAAATTAATCGGAAGAAACATTGCCGTATCGTTTACGTTAGGCACTAATCAGTAAACCGCTGTAAACAAATCATCCTTTGAATGTTAATAAATCAAACATATTGTATCTAAGAACATTTTACATAAATGATACTCGTATCTTTATTAACGTTATAAGAATTAATAACTATATTTGTTTCAGACTAACAACTCGAATATATTTTTGAGATACGAGAAAGTAACTAAATGGTACTTTTGAAAGTTCTGATTTCATTCAAATTCTTGTTTATTTGTTGTTATTACTTTTACTCGAGTAATTACTTCTACGCAACTATAGATATAAATGTTAGAGTAATTATTATTGGTATGAAAAAAAAGTCGACATTTACACTAAGGAAAACGACTTTTACAGATGTCTGCTCTACTAAAGTGTGCGGAAATTGCTTAAAGTGGGGCTAAAGGACGCGTGCAAGCGGAAAGCGTGCATGACTGAACTTTGCAACTTTTCACCACGTAAGTTCGAGACCTTGGGTGCGACCGCGAGAGTTATAGGATGCGACATCTTAACGACGTTACGGCGATATTTCGTTTTATTTTATTACTTTGACATGTATTGTAATAACGACGAAAAATTTATAAAGAATGATGGTCAAGTATTTGAGCAGTGTTACCAACTTAGTTGTTTATCCATCAATAGGCTCACAAAGCAGACGTTAAAGTAATATTGCCATAAGATTGGTATGATGTCATAACCTATGGCTGGCAAGATAGGCGATATACATATCGCTCAAAGGGTTGCCTTGCTTGAAATGAATTTGTATTGCGCAACAATACCTAAAATAGGCTGCATAAAAAGTTCAGAATCAGATTTCCAAGATTATATTTTTTTTGTTACTTTGGCATAAGAATTAATATTTAATAACTTATATAATTAGAACAATATTATTCCATATTTCGCTAAGAAAACCGCATGACCTTTGGTTTCAGATACTGGCGAATTAATATCTAACCAAGTATTGTAGCTCGGTGGCGTAGTGGTTAAGCGCCGCGGCCCACAATCGTTGTCGTTAAGCAACTTTCGCAAGGGTCGGTCACGGGATGGGTGACCAAAAAATTATTATCTCGAGCTACTCCGTGCTTCGGAAGGCACGTTAAGCCGTTGGAATGAATGAATAATTTTCATTCATTCATTCACGTTAAGCCGTTGGTCCCGGCTGCATTTGCAGACGTTAATACCCTCCAATCCGCATTGAGCCAGCGTGGAGGGTCGTGGCCCATCCTCCTTAACCATCCATAAGGAAGGCCTGAGCCCCTGCAGTGGGGACGTAAAAGGGTTGATGATGAATATCTAACCAAAATGGATTTGCCCAGTATCAAGAAATTTGACGATAAAATACTCAATCAACACTTTATGTAGCTTTATACGATATCTCTTTACAAAAATAATTTGTATGCTCATCCTAAACCGAAATCACTATTTTGATCAAGAGACCAACCAGTGACGTGCAAAGAAATCAACGTTGAAATTGTAACGGTCAATATGATTTTAAACTTTATTAATATTATTACATAGATGTAAGGGTAAGTAGTTGTAACAGCTAGTCACATACACATGGATGGAGTTATCTGCCATATTGCCATATCTATATATTTATTGCATTTTCCTGACCCTGGTATTGATAATTATATCTCTACTCGCGACAGTATCGCTTATGATATGACCACAAGAGAAATAGTATCAAATATTTTCATAAATAAACTAATATTTGTATGAATTATACAATAACATGAAAATTAGGAACGCTTTGGTAGGAATCTTCTAGAGTGGTAATTTTATCACCGCTTGTACGTAATTTAACTCCGTACCAGAAGGCCCTCAGTTTGATGGCAAAAAAAAAAACTGTTTCTGCGCAGCGGTTTTTGTTTCATTCGTCTGCTCTGATCAAATGGCTAATATACTTTAAATTCATGATAACATTCATGATATTTAATAAACCTAATTTAGTAACTAAAGCACTTGACTGTAGAGGACGCCGAAGATTATAAATATAATAAACGTATAGTACATATACACATGAAACAATACGTGATATATAATTATCATAAATATAGTTGGCATTCAAATTTATTAGCCAAAAAACAGATTTCAGTTCAGCATTATCGTAGACAAACGTGATCAAGTTTTAAATACCTCATAGCACTTTACATATGGAGAGCATCTATAAATCTAAGTACTCAAGAGGCCGATAAAATTAAAATAGTGACGTAAAAAAAACAAATAATCCGGGTATAAATTATAAGTAGATTACGATAATATCGTCAATACATTTTAAAATCAAAATTCAAGATGTCGCGATATTTCTGCAATCGATTTGAAACTTCTGACAAAACCTTTATAAAATAAATCAAGTAAAAAGTTAAATAGAAAATCTTGTCAGCACTGGATGTCATAAGGGCTGTTATAGTTTAGGACTGTCTATAGCTTATTTTTTTTTATCGGAATCTTTTTTCATGAATTCAATCGACTCAAAAACTATAAATTGGTTTTGAGTATTCACCAAGACGCAGATTTCATCAGTAGACATACAAATAAAACAATAATAGGAGAAATTTATGAAATTTCTATATCATAAATTCAACCCCACTGAGAGATTAATTACAATAAAAGAGTAATTCATATAATAAGTTAAAATCTATGAATAAATGTAATATTCAAAATTTCCCACGAAACACCACTTCTTTCATGGCGTCGCTATGACGTGACGACTCTCTGAAACTAATATCGTTCTATGTAAGCAAGCAAAAGGTTGAATTATCTAGGTTCTGATATGAGTAAGAGGGAACGAGACATCACGCGTTTTTTGTGATCACGTAACAATGAGTATAAAATATTAGTTATTTCATAATTTAAACAATCTTATAAATAAAAATAAAAATTTAAAGAAAAAAAGTCCTGACTGCGTAAAAAAGAATTTTAATTTTTTCATGTATTTTTTAAAATTGCTTCACGCAGTCGGGTAATAATGAGCATTACCGGAAATAGTATAATAAATAGTAAACACTGCCATAAAAAAAAAAACGTTTACCCTCTGCACCCTTATTAGGTACTCGTATATAGAAAACGAACAATTTCTTTTCATTAATTCTTGTCGTACCTAGTTTTTTATGAACGGCATAATATATACTATTTTATATATGAGCCACAGTGAATATCTAGCTTTATGTCTGTGGCGGCGTCGGTGCCAAGAACCGTATAAAATATGGACTCAGATGCGTCTTTTACAAGCGAACGTCGCGTGTGAATGTTTCCCGTTTGGTGTTACATGGAAACACGATCGTCAATCACGTGATATTTACTATTATTTCGTTCACTAGGAACACTCAATTATGTAACGTAAATGATTTCAGCAAATATTACGAATATACCGGTTAAGATGACACAACTAACAGACATTAAAAAACTTTTAAAAATCACAAGCAAATCAGAAGGCCAACTCTGTTTCTTTGAAAACGAAATTGGGTGGGTCCGTCAGTGCCACACCAGGAATCACTAGTACATAATTTTCATATACAAACCTAAATATTAACATATTCTGGAGTTCCCGCTATTTTTTAGTAGCATTAGCATAATTCTACCGACCATAGCTAACTACAGGTAAAAGCACGCAACCTACAATTTTATCCATTGGTCCACCTTCGGCAAATTATATTGCAACTTGCCTATTTTTATATAAAAATAAACTTTATAATAATCAGGCATTTATAAGCTACATGAATATAGAATGAGAAAGGAGTTCTATGATTTTTTTCTGTAATGATAATTGAGTCACATCATCAAAATTTGTTCCAAAATGTTAATCAATCGGTTTGTTATTGGTGCACCTCTGCCATAAGAATATACACATAATATATGAATTGTTTCACGAAGGAAACATTAATATAAAGGAAGTAGTAGGGAGATCCCCCCGAGACGCACAAAGCTTTTGTCGAAATTATAAAACGAAAAGTGAGCTGGGGAGGTTGTAAAATCCCCTTGAACTTGAGTTTCGGTCGTATCGAGCGGAAACCACTTTTTGTATACATATTTTCATGAAAAGCGGTACGACGACACATGAATTTTCCTCTTGGTAACTGTAAAGTGATACTCTCAACCTTTAAGCTGAAGATTCTAATTAAAACCATACGAAACAATTAAGTTTAACGAGGTCGCAAATTGGATTCTGGAGACAATAATCGTGTAGTAGGAACTCTTAACTAAGAGTTTCTTTTTCTTTGTTAAAGGATTCTACCTAGTGTTTCTTAAGCATTTATCCGATCTGGGAAATATCTAACTATAAACCCCTAATAAAAAAGTGTATTATTCAATTAAATATAATACGTGCTATAGAATCGTCCTCATAAAAAGTTATTTACATTTTCGATAATAAATATTTTTTAATAAATAAAGTATGCAAACTTTTTGTAGCTTATAAAAATGTTTGCATACTTTCAGAACACCATTCACAGCCTTATACAACATGTAATAAATGCAATTCTGCAGTCTGTCCTAATCTGTCTCAGTGTGCTACCATATTAAAACTATTAAATTTACACCTAGAACCTAGATGCGTTCTAATCCATTTCACCGATTGAAATGGATTATTATTGATTTATTATTAATATTAATTTCAGTATTAATGCACAATTAAACGAACGTTTATTATATTAGCTCGGTGGTTATGAACAGGCGACCCGCGGACCGTTTGATGGTCCCTGAAAGCATAAGTACAAGTGGTCCGTTTAGCGAAAATTTTGTTACAATTTTTGATTAATCAACGTTTAGATACCGTAGAGTATATTATGTGGTTCGGTCCATAGCCAGATAGTAATTTGTCCCTAATGATCTCTAAAAACTGAAAGAACCACTGCATTAGCATGTACCAGAAAACGAAATCCTATAGAATGTTATACATTTAAGTCACTAGCTTTCCGTCAGGAACTACAGCCACATACAGACACGTCAAAGAACTCCAAAAACACACCGTTAGGAGTTGACTTTCGCAAAATCAATGTCGTAAAAAGAGCCCCTATGCTAATTTTGAGACTGTTAGCATTTCTGGTAACGAAGATTCATATAAACTTCACCCCAAAAAACAGCCCTTGAGAATTTCGCAAAATCTCATCTTAGTGAGAAAATTTATGATGAACGGGTGAGTAACTACTTTTCACTTTTATATTTACAGACAACGAATCTATAAAGCTAATTAACAAAAATTACATAGACTTGCGTGATGCGTGACCGATTCAGGTGACGTTCACGGTCGTCTGACTTACATCAGCCCATGAGCATCTTCACATTAGGATATCAGTTCCGGCTTCAACATAATGATTACCATTATATCAGGTTAACACAGAATGGTCATCAACTCGGAAATGAATTTTTGCAGTAAAATATACCTGAACAGTTTTTTTATCATACATAACAATGATACTTTTTTTATAAGAATTATGTATTAGTCACTGTTGCACATCTAAAGAATATTCTTGAATAAATTAATAAACTGGTTTACTTATATGATAAATTATGACGCCATCCCTCGCCTACGTCTCTAATTAGAAACACTCTGCATAACTGATTTTGGTATTTTTAAAAAGAAACTTATCCTCACCTCTATGTACGGCGTCGAATCTGCCTTCGACCTTGGATCGTAAGGCCTCCAGATCAAACGGTGCTCCAAACCCATGATCCACCGATCTGCTTTTCGACCTGCAACATAGAACACGATAATGTTGTAAAAAATACTTTTAAATATACCCCTTTTAATTGACTGCATTGGATTAATTGATTCAGACAATCCCATATACCTATTACTAAACAGCCGTACCTATAGTCTACTAAAAGTGATTCCTTGAGTAAAAGTAATAACTTAAGCAAACATTTTTAACAGATAAACGAGTATTTATTAGCTATTAATAGTTCTTATTTCATTCAAATTCTCTTATATTTTTGCTTAGTTATGACATTTTCAAGTAATTACATTTCTCGCATATAGACACGAGTATAACACTCGTATCACGAGAGAGGAGAGAAGTTATTATTTTTACTCGATACGGTACTTAGTAAATATTCGTTAACGTTGAAAATGAAACAACAATTTAATAAGGTTGAATTTGAACTAGTACCAATATGACCCAATTGATTATTTTGCTGATGCCCAAACTTCTTGGATAGTAAAACCTAATAAACAACAATTGGCAATTGATTTAGAAAAGTAAAGGAACTCGCTAATCACTGCTCGCTCTACGCAGTAAATATAATTCAGTACCAATCTAAACGCCGACGACGACAATGTAAATAATATTCTAGGTCAATGTACTTATTATTGTCTATTTCTTAAAGCGATCGTCCTGAATAACTTTCAGTTGTATATACTACAAATGGAACGAACACGTCGTTGCGCACGTGTGGTTTCTATAGCGAACATACAATTACCAGGATCCAGGGTTGAATAGATTAAAGAATGAGGAAGTATTAAAAAAAAAACAGCATCTCGCTAGATGACGACTCTAGCAAAAGTTGACTTTTATAGGAAACGAATAGACCAAAGATTTTTTTGCAAAGTTCGAAACTAAGATATCAATACAAATATCCGGTTTTCTGACACGTATAAATTTACTTTTGTACATGAAAGAAAACCGGAAGGGTTGTCATGGATAAATCAAAAATTCGGGAGCTAATGTTTTTTTTAAATACTTCTTCATTACAATGTTCTTAAAGCCTACTGAAATATGAGCAATTATGTCATTCCTCTACCTTCTTTTTTTTTACAGATGGCTAACTGGATGTAGTAACGAAGGACATTTGAATGTTTTCGCCGTGCTAAAGAGGTTCACTATCGATTAGAAATAAAAAGAAACTATCTATACTAATATTGTAAAGAGGTAAAGTTTCAAAATTTTTTCCTAGGGGCAAACTTCTGAAATACTTCTTTCACCTACGGGAAGCTATATCATAGACTATAAATTACGCGGGCGAAGTTGCGTGGCAACAGTATCATATAAATCAATGTCTCAAGCTTATGAGCATTATAAAAGTAAAAGTAACCATAACTTCACGAGGAGACTTAACTTCTTTATAAATCCTGATGAATTAGATAAAAAGTAAACCAATAAATTACCTAGTATATAGTTGTGTCAAAAACTCCTTTGCCCGCTTATTACACAAGTAAACTCAATAAATTTTAAAAGCAACAGTAATTATCTTTCGCTTTTTACAGCCAACATTCCCCGTTGAACTTTTTATTACAACAGACGTAAAAGTTTAACTGAACGAGTTTCAAACTGAACGAACTCGTAACGCAGATACTCGTAAAAGGCAAATGCAATGAACGGGATGCTATATGGAATGAAGGTTTTCACGAAACGTTGATCCACTTGTTTCTTTACTGCCTGAATGAAATCAATCTTATATGCCAATAATTGGATAACTACTGGATTAGATGTCACTATCTTTGCGATCGTAAACAAAGTGTCATCGGAAATTGATTTCTTATAAAAAAAAGAGTTTAATAGAAGTTCACTGTAGCGTATAATATTCTTTGTTTGTGGCTGAAAAGTAAGTTTACGGAAGATTACGAAACAGTTTGTATTAACAGTAATCAGAAAAATAACATCTCACAAAGACGTCTCTATTTCGTAACATCAGAGAGAGAACTGAACTGGTAAGTCTATAAGTATTAATCAGACTTCCTGGCGTCAGGTGAAGTTTTGGAATTTAATAAATAAAAAGGACAAACAGAATGAGATAGAGATGTACACTACCGAACGTTCACATTTAAACCTTCACACGGACACTCGGTCGGAACAAAATAACTTAAATTTAAAAATATATACACGTAAGACCTATTAACCATGTTACTTCCATTTTATTGCTTTGTTTGTGGTGTTCACAAGGTTTTCCCGACCAATTTATTTTTGTAAATCCGTTAAAATTAAATAATCAATTTGTTCCTTATGAAAATGCGTAAAATGAATCTTGTTATAAAGAATAGAATCAAATATAATCCCGATGAATAATACAATCAGGTCAACGCTTATCATTTAAACGGCTCAGTAACGAAACACAAACAATTTTCGGGATGAATATTAGGGATTATAGTCGGCCCGCAAAGATATTGCTCGTTTAACGCTTCGTTTAAAGCAATTTGTTATAACTTTAAAATTAAGAATTACAAATTACGAGGCAAAACGTCTATATATATATTTTTAATTTTCATTAATTTATCAAAACATGCTCCACCATTTTTTAGGCAAAGTTTAAATACAAAAAGATGTAATATTATACCAGACAAAAAATTATATGATACTTTTTATAGCAAGTTATTAATTAATGTGACATCCTGTCAGTAGAGCAATAGAAATCCGTACTGCCAAGCATCTAATTCTACGCTTCATCGTATCATATTTACGATAAAAAATATGGAGGGGCTTGTTGATAACAAGTTTAACCTATGATACATACATCGAACGAGCCTCCTATTATAAATATAGCTAACATAGTCGCAAACAACATTCCAGACCCGATCTAATATATGCACGAACGAATAACGAAAGAACGATCGCATCGGAATATTGTTAGTGTCAAATTACATAACACTTATGAAAGTGTTTTACTGGTATTTTCAAAATTACTTGTTAAATTATTAACGTTTCGAGAATTCCAACGCCCCATTGATGTAGGATGCGGATGAGAAATTATGCTCTGACAGACAGATCTATCGATTTCAATCAGATGATCGATGTAGAGATGACGCAAGCATTCTATTATCTCCCATTCTTCAAGTATAAATTGACTAATTGCTATTCTCAATGAAGACTAATGTCCATGCTTTTGCTCGGTGGTATTTCTATTGTGTACATCTCTTTATAAGTGAATACATTGCAATAGGAAATTGTCATCAAGTAAAAACCGCTTCAAGAATTAACAAATTGCTTGAAAAACAAAATAATTTTCACGTAAAATATATATGAGTTTCATAATTAAAATTCTACATAAGCAGTATCTATAATGCATTGTTTTAAAGCAAATAAAACGTAGTTATAAATATGCTTTACAAGTAAAAAACACACAACAGCAAAAATGCATTTTCGAATAGTGCAAATATACCTCTTTGATACTAGGTATTAATATATACATATATCGGTCGTTCAACAGAACAATCACATTATTAGAAAAATTCAAAAACATAACTCGAGCTGCGGGTGTACAATCTAATAAGAGAAATGGCGAAATCATACTTGCAATAACATTAGTTGAATTTAGTAAATTTCTTGAAGAAAGAAATAAATATATTCTTCCAGATTTTCGGACAAAGATCCTTAATTATTATAGGAATCATTAATGATTGATAAGATAAATAATTAAATTTATTAAATTATTAAACACACTACAGGGGAGCGATTCTGTAAATATCAATTTTGTGTCTGAGTTCACGTCATTTAGTGCCGAATTTTTTTTGATTCTATTTTTGTATAAAAATACAAAACAAGATTAATTCATTCATATGTGTCTCAAATATTCTATTTCTATGTCATTTCGAAACTCACTTCACTTATGCCACGAAACGTTGAAAGTTTAAGGTTGTCAACCAGTCCAAGGTTGAGCGGATGCCGCTTTTGAAGAGAATTAGGATTCAGGTTCAGATTTTTACAGAATCGCAAGGCAGGTCTGTTGAATGAGCGATTTGTAAAAAAAATAAAAAGCCTTTTCAATTTCTGTCTAGGGCACTGATTTTTGTATAAAGGAGGTGATAGAACTTACCTCTTATAAGACTGGTCGATGCTCTCGGCGCTTCTCGACAGCTGCTGGGAAGCTCGCCTAGACCTGAATGCAAGAGACCATGTCTACACACCAAAACGCATGCAATACAATATCTAAATGATACATCCAGACAACTCCGTTTGGCGTTGATAAAAAAAATACATAAAATCGCAGAGATAATATTTATAAACGCAAATATGAGATATTAAGATTTCATCGTACAAATATTATTCTCCGTTTTACGTTTATAGCCAACGACTTTATATACAACGGAAGTGTCTGAAATAACACTAAAGAGTTTTCACATTGAATTAATGCGCGGTCTTCGTATAAACGACTTCAATCAGACCTTCGAAACCGCCATTTAGCCAACGCTCATAATTTGTTTTGCATCATCAAATTCGATCTATGGAGTGACTAAGTAATAACATTTAACATTTGCGTTGCAGATGTTGGATATAAAATTAAAAACATTAGATCAACAGTACAAGACACAACTGCGTATTTTAATGTCAATAGTAAGAAATAGTCGACCGGTTCAATGTGAAATCTCAAACAGTGAATCTGGCAAACCATAAAATAAATGTTGCAATTCCTTTAAAACGGCTAATATTATTTTAAATGCCACATCGTTTCATGCGATGGGTCTCTATTTGGTATCATGCAATGCATAAATAATGTAAACAAAAACACAAGACAAAATGTGCAATTGTGAAAATATATTCTGTGTCCGGAGGTATCCTTGCAAAATATCTTTCTTCGAATGACAACTCATTTTTTTATATCCAACTCGTGGGAATGTGTAGTCTTTCAAACACTACAATGATTTGTTTATTCATCTAGCTATTTAACAATTGAACACAATTACACTGTTTCTTGAGATAAAAAATATGATTGATAATTTGCCGATTGCACAGACGCATTATTATCCTTATTATAACCGATTG